AGAAGCAAAAATAGAGGGGGAAAAAAAATGAAAAACAAAACGCGTCAGATCTTTTTCCAGATTATTTTCTCAGTCATGTTTTTCTAGTCCGTAACCTCCAATACCCTCGAGGGATTGGTAGGTCTTGGCCTGGTTACCACGACCATTCCGGGGACCTCTGGCCTGCATATCCTCCTTGAGCCACTTGAGGACTAGCTCTCCAAGGCGGCTATTCTCCGAAGTCCACTCAGGGACTTGTTCATGGAACGACTCAACACTACCCAGCGCCTTGACCTTACCTAAGTGCATGTGGGCTAAATGGGTAGGCCACTGGGCAAGGTTATCCAAGATATGAGTAGCATAAACAATAGTGCAGGCACGGGTTTCAGTCTCCCGCTTTAGGAAAGCCAGGAAATTGCTCCTGGACAAAAGGTCCAGGTCGACAGTGATCTCGTCGAGCAGCAGGATCTGCCAGGGCCGCAGCAAGCCCATGGCTAGCTGCACGCGGCGACGTTCTCCGTCCGAGACAGCATGCATGCGCCAGCGCAGATCAATATCGAGGATATCGACCAGCTCGTCCCGGCGCTCCGGGTAGGCATTTCCGCCGACGGAGGCGAGAAGTGTTGGCACGTCAATGTCTGTGCGTACGATGCTGTTCAACACCCACTCGACTCCCAGGTAGGTCACACCGTCTAGACTATCCTTGAAGGGGTCCTTGCCGCCAATGGCGATGGTGTTATTGGGTGCAAGGCGCTTCCCTGATAGGAGGCGGAGGAGGGTGGTCTTCCCCGCTCCATTTGCTGTGTGTTTGGGTTAGTCTTCGAGATTAGTCTCGAATGGGGACGAGTTTTGACTCACCGCCGATCAATAGGGTGCGGCTTCCAGCTGGTAGACTCATGCCTACGTTCTCCAGGCCACTGGAGCCATCTTGGAACTTGTACGAGAGGTTTTGTACCTTAATGTTTGGGAGAGCGGAATTGATACCCGCCATGACGAATGTGGAAGAAGGAAAGCACTAAGAGGATCTCGAAATTGGACGAAAGTAAAAGGAAGAAGAAGATAAAAATGAGTCAGGGAAGATCGTTAATTGGAATTTATCTAGACTGATTTGATGCTAGCGCTCCAACATGAGATGATCTCGGCGGAGGGTCGCGCCATGGATGAGGTAACCCGTGTGATAACCGATAACCTTTTTTTTCCCCCCACGTCGCAATGAGCATCGCGGTATGCTCTCAGCTTTCCGATCTATTTGGCAGGGGCAAAGAATCATGAATCCCCTCATAGCCGTTGTCGGTGCCACAGGCACAGGCAAGTCAAAGGTATTGACTCCAAGTCCCGCCCGCACTTCCTCCGAACACAATGACTGATAGCTGTAGACAGCTTGCAGTGGACTTAGCCTCTCGATTCAATGGTGAAATCATCAATGGCGACGCTATGCAGATGTATCGCGGTTTGCCGATCATAACGAATCAGATCCCGACAGAAGAACGGAACGGCATCCCTCACCACCTCCTCAGTTGCATCGACCTGGATGCGGAAGCATGGCGCATAGGGCTATTCAAGCGAGAAGCCCTGCGAGTCATTGAAGAGATCCGCGCCCGTGGCAAGGTCCCCATCCTTGTTGGTGGCACGCACTATTATACCCAAGCAGTGCTATTCAAAGAACAGCTCGTGGGCGAAGGGGTGGATGACGAAGGCGAGCGGGAACAGCTCACGGAGTTCAGCTCGACCTCGAAGAAATGGCCGATTCTGGATTCATCGCCTGAAGTTCTCTTAGAGAAGCTGCGCGAGGTGGATCCTGTCATGGCTGCGCGATGGCATCCGAAAGATGCACGTAAAATCCGACGGTCATTGGAAATTTATTTCCAGACAGGGCGGAAAGCCTCGGAGATTTATAAAGAGCAGTTCTCTCAAAAAAGAAAAGCGATAGACCAGGAGGAAGGTTTGCTACGGTTCGAGAATACCTTGATATTTTGGGTACATGCCGAAAAGGAGGTCCTCAATGCGCGCCTGGATGCGCGTGTGGATGACATGGTCAAGCAGGGCTTGATGACCGAGGCGGAGAAGATGTCAGACTACTTGCAGGAAAAAGCCTCGCAGGGGATCGAAGTTGACCAAACACGGGGAGTCTGGGTGTCCATTGGATTCAAGGAATTGGCGCCATACTTCAAGGCTATCCGGGACGGAGAAGCAAGTGAGAAAGAGATCGAAGATCTCAAACGGAACTCCTTGGAATTAATTCGAATCGCTACACGACAGTACGGAACATCGCAGGTCAAATGGATCCGCAATAAACTCTGGCAAGCACTCACAGAAGCTGGAGAGACGCGTCGGCTTTATCTCCTGGACAGTTCCAACGTCAGCGACTGGAGCAAGTGCATCACTGAGCCGTCCGAGGAGATTGTGCAATTGATGCAGCAAAGCAAGCCAACTCCGGAACCCAAATCGCTTTCTCAATTGGCCACGACGGAGTTCGGTGCGAAGGAAGCTCAGGCCCAAAAGCGTGTACAGACAGACCCAATCGGGAAATGCTATACTTGTGATGTCTGCCAGAAGACTATGGCGTCGGAGGACCAGTGGCATATTCATCTGAATAGTCATCAGCATAAAAGGGGACTCAAGTCTGCGAGTAGGAGAGCACAGCGAGATGAATATTTCCGAAAGAAGGAATTAGAAGCGCAGGGGATCCAGCCTACTGAAACCGATCCTGGGTCATGAGTTATTTGCATTGGATGGTTCAAAATAGACCAAGGATTATAGAAATACCCAAAATTCTTCTGTTATTTAATCACACACGGACGATCTTCCATGTAAAACTCAAGTGCAGGTAGTCGCTAGGACGCCTCCCCTGGGTCCCTCGGACCGCAATTGGGGGACTATAGAGGGTTGAAATAAGAGGCCGCTGAAAGATTTCATTTATTGCAAGAATAGTCGGTGGTTTACGCGGCCTTGCGATGTCTTTTTGGATGTTCTTTTAAGATATCTTTTTGGGTGCATACGAAGGTAAAAAGCAGAATACTTAATATAAGAGACTTTTCTATGTATAATATTTGATAAACCCAAGCGATAAAAGTACATTAGCACTAGCTAGCATACGCTAGACCTTCCAATCACGAACTTGCAGAAGTGGTCGATCGCCAGGCCTTGAAAGCAGGCGAGAGAATATCGCCATGCCCTTGCTCCTCAACTTGATAGACCTCGATAACCGGAGACTTCTCCTTTTTCCGAATTCTCCACGTCCCCTCCTGGTTGATAGTCTGCTTAAGCCCTAGAAAGTATGTCAGTACTGCTATAAACTCATCACAAAGAACACTCACACTCCAAGAATGCACCAGTGAAATTGATACAGACGTTTCCATCCCAAGAACGCCGGCCCACACTCAATACTTTCCCGGGAATACTGGCTGTGTCCAGCTCCTCCAAGCTATGGCAGATGCCATTTTCATCACGGAATCCCACGATAATCTTAGGTACGCCCAGCAGGAATGACTGTGCCCAAAACTTGAGCAATTTCCGCTCATACTTTATCATATCGCGTTCATTACGGATCTGAGCTGATGTCTTCAGCTCGACCCAGTTAATGGGGCTTTCTTTTCGCGATGGCTTGCTGTCCCAGACTAGGGGGGGGGAAATAGGTTAGCATTGGGTATAGCGAGGCGAACCAAGGTAAACATACTAGCATCAACCTCTCCACCGAGAATCATACGCACGTTACCGATCCCGGTGCGGACAACGGAACAATACTGTGCTGCGTTATTGACGACTTCGTTCTCACGGCCTTCGATCTCGTCGCGGGTTGATTCATCCCACGTCTTCGAAAGTACAGCCAACTTTTCGAATTTGTAGCCTAGAATTGTTCGTTAGTCTAGGCATATATTTGCATGGGTGGTTTTAGATACCCCAATACATCATGAGTTCCTGTGGTGCCATCCCGGGTGGTGATCCTCGCTTGTGTTGGATCTCTTTCTGTTGGTTCTTATACTCGTTGTTTTCTTCGATAAAACTAGAACAAGTCAGCACATTATATAGCGACATAGGTAGCTAAATATACATACATGGTGCCCTATACTATATTTTAGATCACGAAAGTTAAATAGTCTTGCTGAGATTGATATCGTACCTGAAAACAAGTTGCATTCATCTCGAAGCTAGAGATAGCCTGGGGTTAGAGAAATAGCACGATATGTGGGTAATAGATCAGGGCTACGAACCCATTCATATTATCAAATGGAGCTGTTAAAATCTGTATTTAGAAGTAAGAATTTAGTTTGAAATTGGGTGATAGTCCGCACTAGACTTCAATTCAACACACCTTGGTCATCATTCCTCTCCATGTGACGATGTCTACATCACATTTCTTTTCTGTTTCTTTCTCATGAGCAACAAGGGTATCAAGCAAAGCATCCAAGTGCTCATCGGGGACATCATTGAGCTTCTGGAATGTCTCATAGCCCTTGTTCAGGTCTGCAGGGAGAGCCGGCGTGTAGTAGTAGGCCATGGACGTATCGCCCAGCGAAAACCGACGCTGGTCATCATAAGAGAAGCAAGCAATTTCCTAGCACCAGGTGAGCTATTCAGTTTCATTTGCTTGATATAGCGCCAGGTCCTTGGCTTACCCTTGGTCTCCGGATAGAGGTATTTGTGCCGCCGAAGCGGTGCAGGGGCTGGATGTTAAAAGTAGATCGGTTCATGATGAATTTGTGGCACTATTGAAATTGTCGGATAAACAAGAGAGATTGCTTGGTCCTTGATATAGATTGTCGCGACCTAGTTAGGTAGCTTGTATAGTGGTTAGGGAGGTCCGTAATGGCGTGGTATTATTGTAATACCACAGGAAACAGGGGGGTCAATAGGACGAACAGATTCCAAACAGCGGAAATAGCAGGTTTCGAGTCAAAACAATGCTGGTAGTTCCAGCTATAAGACCACCATCAGGTACTTCTTAAGGAGATGTCGGAGATGCCATGTTCTCCAGGGCTCTGGAGTTGCCGCGTCCCCACCAAGTCTCTCAACCAACTCCCCCGCGAACATTCTTGCACTGCGCACTCTGCTTGATAGCGTCCTCGATTCGACTTTTTCTTTAATTTATTTGATCAGCGCTTCCATTTAGTCTGACAATGTCATCCCGGATTGATAAGGTCATCGCCCGCCAGCGAGAAAAGTGAGAATCCCACCTTGCCTGTAACCACCTCGGACCACCTCGGACCTCAAAAGATCCCATTCTGACTGTCTGTTGCTGTCTATAGGATTGCCGATGGCGCCTACTACGAAGCTCACCAGCAACTACGTGTTATTGCTGTCCGGTATATCAAGCAGTCCAACTACGATGCTGCGGCGGAGATCCTAGCTGGTGGCGCGAAGGAGCTATTGAAAGCTGGTTCTCAGCAGGGCGCATCGGCCAGTGGTGGAGACCTGGCCATCATGTTGGTGCTCGAAGTATACAACAAAGCCGAATGGGAGATCTCAGGCGGTAATGATGATGCAGAGGGTCGGGCTCGGAAGAGTGAGTCTATCAAATATCTTTTTTGACTACTGGGGGGTGATTACTGCAACATGGTGCCTCAGGTTACCCCAGTAGCTGCCGCAGACCTAGCATTGCTAACCTATATATTTTTGTTCTGCAGAGCGCCTGATCGAGCTACTGCGCGAATTCCCGTCAGATGAACCTACACGAAAGAGATTCATCCAAGAAATGATTGGATGGAGTGCAAAGTTTGGACCACTTGAACGAGGAGATCCGGATTTACATCATGCCGTTGGCTCAGTATACGCCGAAGGTGAGTGATGCCGGAGCGCAATATTTGATACATTCTAATCTAGTCCCTCAGATAACGAGCCATACGATGCCGAGAAACATCTCACCCTAGGAACCTCCGAATCAGCCGAGACCCTTGCAAAGCTCGAGTACGAGTGGTACACCAGCGACGAGCCGCACACCGCCGCGATCTATGCGTCACGCGCAGTCTTCCCATACCTCCTCACCGGAAATATCCGCAGCGCGAATAAAGCCCTACTTATTTTCACTTCACGGCTTGCAGCAGCCAATCCTCAGCTTGGTGTGCAAGATGTCAGCAGTGCCAGCTCCGACGCCCGGGTGTTCCCTGCCCTTCCTTTGGTGAATTTCATCAGCATGTTGCTGCTGGCCATCCAGCGCGGAAGTGCGGATCTCTTCCGACAGCTCACTGCACACTATGCGACACAAATTCGAGAAGTGGGTATCTGGGACGATGCTTTGGCTCAGATTGGTGAGCAATACTTCGCCATCAAGATTCCCCGGCAAGGAAACCCCTTGATGGACATGATGAGTGGTATGTTGTTTGGAGGTCAGAACAAGACAGGTGGCAGAGGAGCATCCAGAACTGCGAAGAAGGTTGAGGCACCGCCATCGAGCATGGAGCTCGATTAAGAGACCAGATGCGTGGGTCTTTTGAAGCAGGCCTTTGCGGGAAACATATCAAACTGATAGTGTAATGAGATCAAGATGCATGCAGCAAGCGCAGTCCTGTCTAGTTAGAAATCGAGTCCTTCTCAGGCTCAAACATCCAATTGTCGTCATCCAATGATGCTGCCTTTTTGCGTAGGCTCTCGTGAACCATATTTAGAATCTCTGTTTTGGATCAGTATATGATCACAGAAACAACCGTCAGACTCAAATCAAACTGTAACTCACCATCAGGTTCACCGTTCGATTGTCTGGTCCGGTGCCGAACCATCATCTCCACAAGAGCCGCCTCGAACTCTGAGTCAAGTATTAGTAGACTATATTTCATAGCGTAAAACATCATCGTGTCAAGAGAACATACTCTCTTTGTCACGCCCAGTGAGCTCTGAAGAAACGAACCCTCCATCCTCCGGCGCAAGTTCAGCCAGCTCCTCTCCATCCTCTCCAACCAGAGCCTGCGGCAATGTTGGAATTTCAAGCTTGTAGCTGCCATTCTTGTCCCGAACTACGATATCTTTGTTCTCCACAATTTTGAATGGTCGAGTATGTGGCCCCGAGTCCGAGGATGTAGGCTTCAGCCGGTGTGAAGGGCGATTGGAAAGGCCGTTGTGGCTTTGAGGAACTGCGCCATTAGGTGGTCCTGCGGAAGCAGGTCGGCGGCTGAGGTTCCCATGAAATAGGTTGCGACGGACAGAGCTTTGGTTCATGATTCCAGATGGTTGCATGCCTGTACACACCGCGGTTTGTGCTTTCTGTGTTGTGTTTGGCCGGAGGTTCTGAGTATGCGGGGAGCCGTGCGCTCCGCGGAGAAGAAGCGTGGATGTCTTGAGGAGCGGGCTGACTCCAGCTGTGTGTGTCAGGGTGTGTAAATTAGAGGGAACGTAGTCATTTTCCAGCTTCGAGGTATTAAGAATAGTTGTTGGGGTGAAGAGAGGAAGAATGGTGCGGAATGAAGTAGATTAGAAAAGAAACCTGACAATGCCGTCAAACGAAACTGAGCGTGCAGCAGTTAGCATAGTAGGATCAATTAATTACCAAGGGTCTCATAGAGATCATACCCATATGAAAAAATAAAATCATAGAACAGCATCAATAAGCCTCAATGCCTAACATCACTGTGAAGTGCACAGGCCAGCCGATAAGCCGTTATCGCGTTTCCCACGCGTGCTTCTCTCGCGTCTCCCCTTCGCTGCACTTCCAAGGCTCTTCACTTTGCAATCACCAAATTACTCACAATGGTTCAAGCTGAATCTTCAACTGCTTCTCACAATGGTGCCAAGGCAAATACTGCTGGTGCCCCTGCGGACTATGAGCTTCCCTGGTAGGGTTTCGCTGTCACCAGAACATCAGGTAGAGCTAACCTTGGGCTTATAGGGTCGAGAAATATCGCCCAACCTTCCTCGATGATATTGTCGGCAACACTGAAACAGTGGAACGGTTAAAGATTATTGCCAAAGATGGTAATATGCCACACGTTATCATCTCCGGCATGCCGGGTATTGGAAAGACCACTTCAGTACTGTGTCTGGCGCGGCAAATGCTGGGAGATGCATACAAGGAGGCAGTTCTGGAGCTGAATGCCAGTGACGAGAGAGGTTGGTTTAGGCATAATTACTTTCATGGCTTGGTCGATACTAATGCTGTGGTCTAGGTATCGATGTGGTGCGCAATCGAATCAAAGGTTTTGCCCAAAAGAAGGTTACCCTGCCGCAAGGACGCCATAAATTGGTCATCCTCGATGAAGCAGATAGGTTTGTTTTCTCGTCAGAGTTTCATTTTGGCCCATTAGACTCACCTCTCTCTGCAGCATGACCGCCGGTGCTCAACAAGCCTTGCGGCGCACTATGGAAATTTACTCCTCCACCACACGATTTGCCTTTGCCTGTAACCAGTCGAACAAGATCATTGAACCTATTCAATCCCGTTGCGCCATTCTCCGTTATGCCCGGTTGACAGATGCTCAGGTTGTCAAACGGTTGATGCAAATTTGCGAGGCGGAAAAGGTTCAGCACTCCGAGGATGGCATTGCTGCCCTTGTTTTCAGTGCAGAGGGTGACATGCGTCAGGCTATCAACAACCTGCAGAGTACTTGGTCCGGTTTCGGTTTCGTCAGCGGAGACAATGTTTTCCGGGTAGTTGACAGCCCGCACCCGGTCAAAGTCCAGGCCATGATCAAGGCTTGCTGGGAGGGTAAGGTGGATGTGGCACTGGAGGGGCTGAACGAGCTATGGTATGTTGTTAATGTGTTTGCTTCGAGGTGCTGGATGTTTCTAACTATTTTATATCTACAGGACCCTGGGATACTCTTCTCACGATATCATCAGTACCATGTTCCGTGTCACCAAGACCATCCCCACGTTGTCCGAACATTCCAAGCTAGAGTTCATTCGGGAGATTGGATTCACCCATATGCGTATCCTAGATGGTGTGCAGTCACTGCTTCAACTGAGTGGTTGTGTGGCGAAGCTTTGCAAGATTAACATGAAACCCGATCTGTTCGAGCCTCCCAAGGCTTGAGACTCGAGAGTGCTTGTCTTGTTGCATATTCCCACGGCGTTTGTCATTTAAGTGACTCTGGAGGCAGGTATACCATCAAGCTGCATAATGAGTTTATGTCCATGAAAATTTTGTCTAGCTATTCACACAGTGAAAGCCAACTCGAGGAGTTAAGAACTAATCATACATTTCCCTCATTTGATGTCACGTTAGGAAGACCCGTAAGAATTGGGCAGTCTTGGGGCTTTCCTAGAATGAACAATAGCGTACTTCCTCTTTCTCTCTCTCTTTTTCTCTCTCACACACACCACTCAAGTTGAATCGCGTGTCTCGTGAACCCATCAACATCTACCCATCCCATACGCTCTCACGTTATCATCCACGCCAGTAAAGGATGTCAAGTAGACAATGTCGATATAGACTGACCAATTGTAAATAGGAATGGTGCACATTCTACGAGATGGGTGGGCACACCCGGGACGAGTGCCACGTTTGGGCGACCTGTGTCTCAGATACAGGCCGGGCTGTCAATGCATGCTGTGATGTATAGCGACTAAGAAATATACTGAGGTCGTATGCTTAGACAAGAAGAACCCCGCCGCCGATGAGGTATGAAATATTCGATTTCTTCGAATTGGGCAGAACAAGTGTATAACCAGGGATTTTACGATATCAATTTCTTTTTACATGCCCAAATTGACCAGTACATTGCTAGATTATAGAACGTTAATATCATTTCCACTTATCATCTTACATTGACCTTTTGAAGTACCTAAGAATAGGCAAGGAACAAGGAATGACAGGCGCACTACTACTATCTCTAATCAAAGACTGTAGGATATTGAGACTAGAAATCCTTGACGGATGATGAACCAACTCCATCCTAGATAAATCAACTGGATTTGTTGACATGACATCTCCAGAGCTTCTCAATAACTGTGGCAGCCCCCAGTACCTTCTCTTCGTGGAGTTTCTTCCCAATGATCTGCAGATTCACCGGATATCCATCCACCTGTTTCGCATCGTAAAGATCCCAATTCCACTCATCGTGACTGTTTCTCGGAATGTAGGGCTCCGAAGGCAACCCATCCAGCTCAGCTCTCACCCTATCGACTGGGAAAGTCAAAGCCGGATAGTCCAGGAAATTCCAAATCTTAGTATAGCCAACCCAACGGAACTTCCGATGAGGCACAGTTGTATGCGGCAAAGTAGGACCCAACAGAACATCGACAGCCCGACCCGACGGAGACCGCACCGCATTCCATTTATCCAGATATTTCTTCTGCGCGGCAGCTTTTCGCTTGTTCAACTGCCAATACTCATAAACCGAGATAGCCTTGCCGCGGTTAACTAACCCTTCAACGTGAGGAATAAACGGTTCGCCGGCAGCGGCTACATCCCGACGGATATCCTCACCCCCATCGACCGTGTAGAAAAGGTCCATAATCTCAATGCACCCTGCATGGTCAGATGTATCCCAGACCACAACCTCATGGCCCTGTGCTTTAAGCATTTCTGACAGTTCTAGCAGGGCACGCGCAATAGGCGGGTGGACTTTTACCACGCCGTCATCCAGGACCAAGCCGATGACCATAGGTCGGTCTTGGAGTTCTTGGAATGCAGTGTCATTCCAGGGAAGAGGAGCGCATCGCGGATCGAGATCCCAGGGCTGACTGTTCGCTATCAGACGACTCATATAGCAGATAGACGAGAGATCTCGGGCCATCGGACCGATGGCAGATGGGACATGTTCTTGGCCTTCGGTGGAGACGGGTACGCCCTGGTAGGGGAGTCGAGCGCTCTATATTTTGGGATCATAAGTATTCACCAGTGAAAGGGGGAGAAATGTAAGCTAGTTCATGGCGGTTGGTGCTTACGCTTGGTTTGAAGCCATACAAGCCCACTGTAGACTGTGGGATTCTGGTGCTTCCGCCGATATCAGTTCCAAATCCGAATAGTGATCCATGCAATGTCAACAAAGCACCTTCGCCGCCAGTTGAACCCCCAGGCGAAAAGATTGGGTTGCGAGGATTGGTCGTGAGTCCCCAGAGAGGATTCTCGGTTTCGGCCCACTGGAGGTAGAGTCAATCTCCGAATCAGATACTGCCAGTGATAATCTTAGACGAACCATGATGCTCTGTGGAAGGTTTGTCTTCGCGATGACTATGGCACCCATGTTCTTCAAGATCTGCACGAGCACTGCGTCTTCCTGGGCGGGGGCGAAGGATCTGCCCACATATCCCATGGTCGTGTCAACACCTTTGACGTTGAACTGGTCTTTTAGCGTGATTGGGATTCCATGCAGGGGACCTTTGAGCTTCCCAGTCTCTGCAAAGTCGGCGTCTAGCTGCTTTGCCTGTTCTATGGCATCTTCGAATAGAATCTCGGTCAGACTGTTTGTCTATTCACGCCGGATTTTATCAGTGAGTTGGTCGAGGTGGAGATAAAACCGAACATACGAGGCACATACCAATTGATGTGCTACCACAGCACTACCGGTGATATTAGTATATGGGCTGCTCCAACCCTCGATATAAGACATACCGTTGGATATATGCCTTGATCACTTGTTCTGCGTGGAACTCTCCCTTCTCCAGGCACTCAAGTAGAGCGGCGACATGGCCAATATCTGTGATCTTTTGGATCGAAGGATCTGCTAGTCGAGTACGCTCCTCGGGGTTCTGTACTTGCGGCAGACGTTGAGCTACATCGACTAGGTACGGTGCGAGGAGTTGGTCTCTGATGAGCCGTTTCCGGGAGACAATCTCTTCCCAAGTCTGTAAGCTGTCCATTTTCTAAATTGGATCAATTGCAGACCTATTGAAGGTCAAGACTAGCTTAATATAGTCAACTAGTCGGTTAGTCGGCTCTACTCGGACTGCTGTCCGAGAGCCACCCTTATCGAGTGGGGACGTGGCACACTCTCGTCAAATACCACTGTAGGCATATTTGGAGTAATTTTTTTTTAATTGATCTAACCGGGATTTTCCGTATTTTCCATTTTCCCCAATAATTTGGGGTCATTTTGGATATGATATCTTTTTGGATTGAGAAGAGAAGAAGAGAAGAAGAGAAGAAGAGAAGAAGTGAAGAGAAGTGAAGAAGAGGAAGAGGCGGGGGAAGGGGGCCAATTCGATGTGGGTCAAACCTTCTTCGACCTCACTAGATTTTATGTTTCAATCTCTCTGCCTATAGCTCGAAGCTCGACAAAGCTCGAGTACAATATACAGTCCTTTAAGAAATGGAATCAAGGAGATCTCCTACGGGCACCACGCCCACTGCCACCGGCGCTATCCGATCACATAAATCGGCGATCGCCAAGAGAGCGTGCGACCAATGCAAATTCCGCAAGATCAAGGTAAGACATCCCCTCACCCCTTTATGTATCAAAATCGCAATGATCCCAATGACCCCAATGAGCATACTAACTTGCCTCCAGTGTAGCTTGTCACAGCCTTGCAAGGCTTGTGAGTCCATGGGCTTCGAGTGTACATTCCTTCAACCACAGAAGAAGCGCGGACCAACCGGGCAGTGAGTAATCACCCGTGACTGTGAATAATATCACTGACTGGAATAAAGCCGCGTGTCGCAAATTCGACAGCAGCAAACTGTTATAACCCCCCAAGAAGAATCTAAGAATGGCTTCCAATTTCAAACTCCAACCTCATCGGTGGAGTCCGGACAAGCCGGTGCTTTGCCCGGGGCAGCTTGGACCCCCACTCATGGTCCAACCACGATGCCCCTAGAAGGGGCCAGAGGACTGCCACCTTCAGGTATACCACCTCCAATGGCACCCTGGGGTGAGGAAACCCCATCTATAGATTCTCACAGCAACAGCGCCAGCGCCATAAGCTGGAACGATCGAAATGATACCGAGTACTGGCTTCCGGATAATCTGGATTCTCAGGTCCCTGTTTTCGAATATCCAGGAAGTAATGTATATCTCAGGCCATCTCTCCCGTCTATCATTCAACCAGTGCCTGATGCTGGGGCCATGGGAATGCCTCCGCAAGAAGCTCCAAATATGCCGTTCTCACCAACTGTGGGGTCCATGCACTCAGATACCCAGGAGACTGATGCAGTTTGGCCATCCACAATCAACGAAGCAAATATGATCCCCTGGATTGACGTCTACTTTGATCGACTACATCCGACCATACCCGTTCTCAACCGATCATCCCTGTACACTTCGATGATCACACAGGAACATCGCAAGAACTCTCAATTCGGCGCCATGCTCTTGTCTCTATGTGCCTTCTCGCTCACACAACCAATTGAGATCAACGAGCGGCCGACGACCTCATCTCGAGCTCTGCAGGCACGAGCCATGATGAACGAAGCGACCAAAATGCGAAGTTGTTCAGATTTTGGCGAGAACCCAACCATCGAAGCTGTCCTAACCAGCTTTTTCCTCTTTGGCTGTTTGTTTGGAAGTAACCAGCACAACGCAGCGTGGCTCCGGATACGGGAGGCACTAGATCTTGCGGCCACGCTGGGGTTGAATGATCCCGAGTCCTATCAGGATCTGTCCGGGGAAGAGAAAGGCCAGCGACTACGGACGTACCTCGTTCTCTCTATTACTGAAAGGTAAGTAAACGACTAACTATTTATTTAAAACCGACTCGCTGACTATGAACTCCAGAGCCTATGCTTTGCAACGGCGACACCCAATCACCTTCTGGGGGAAGCCGGGATTCACCATGCGGTCAGTGCATGACTTCATCCACAGCGCCACGCATAGCGTCGTCTCCGGCATTATGGTCCACAACGAGAAAGATGCCGAGGGGATGATGGGTCTCGCACGAATGATGGAACTATTCGATGCCATCGACGAAGATGTCATCGACTGCTGGAACCGCCGATGTGATAGCAGCAACGGGTACTGCCAGCGGCTCACCAAAGTTAAGGCACTTTCCATTCACCAAAATCTCAATCGAGTCAACCAGGCCGAACGATATCGCGGTTATGACTGGTTCGAGCGAGCCAAGGGCGGCCGTAGCGAAACAAGCAATGCCACATTTGCTATGGGCCTACGAGAGACCCAAGCAGCGGACGTTTTTATCACCCAGAAATGGCTCCAGAACCGTGTTTGGCTCCTCTCTTCAACCCACGGGCTTCTGAGTGCCCATTCGGAACATCCCGAGCTAACTTTCGGATATGCCGTATCCGTTGCTGAGACCACTCTCCAGCTGTGTCAGTCATTACGGTTGAGCTCCATGGAAGCCCATGGCATCGGTCTGGTATGTAATTTGCTCTCATCTACAACCTGTAGATGTGTGGGTTCGGCTTGTGAACTTGGCTCCTTACTAACAACTCAATATCTAGACCGAAAAACTGTACGATATCGCAATCTGCGCAACAAACATCCTATGCAATACAAGTCCGTCTTACGGGGTTGACATGAACATGCCCGTCAGTTTCACTGAAAGAATACCATCGACCACGAACTCTACGCCCCAAAGTCTCGCAGAAGACTTCCTGTTACTTATGACCAGCTTCCGCGGCGGAAACCATCCCTATCTGGAGAAGTATAGAGCTCATCTACGCTCGCTCCAGATTATGGAACCCAAAGCTCCGGAGTGGCCGCGACGATGACTGAGGCTGTTGCAGAAAGTTCTTTGATTTTTCCCGAGTGATTTTTCCAATTGTATGGAATGAGTCTTCGGGTTGTATGATTTTCTTTTTTAGAACTCATTGACTCATGTTGTACATGGCAACCCCATTTCTCACTGGATTCTACAGTGTACCAATAGAGCGACTTTAACTATACCCAAATTTATATATATATCCATGGTATAATGCGAAGAGCACAGATAATTTACCCTGCAATTATATTACAGCGTTCAATTAGAGAGATATGAATGGTTAGACCGTGTCAACCCTTTGACGCACGAGACCTCAGCTCATATGAAGTCTGATACGACCTCCACTTCCACATAGGGATCTTAGCTGCATACATCTCATCAATCTCGGCAAAAGTTCGGCCACGCGTCTCCGGCATGAAAAAGTAGAAAAACACAATGATGGCAGCCATACAACCAGCGAAGATGAGATAAGTCTTCGCACCAAGGTTCGCCGCATCCGCCGAAGTTAGCTGCGGAACGACGAGAGTGGTGACAACGGCGGTTGTCTGCGCACAGGCAATTGTGTAGGCCATGGTATGGTGGCGGAGTTTGGGAGTTGCCATTTCGGAAGGCATGAGGTTCGACAGTGAGAAGAAGGAAGATGCCCAAAAGAAATTAAATACAAAGGACAAAGCGGCGATGGTCATAGTAGCGTTCTTGTTTCCTCTGTAGAAGGCTAGGCCACCGGCCACGGCATCGATTACGAACAGAATCCCCATCCCGACGAATGCTGTGGGACGTCGACCGGCGCGGTCGATGACGAAGGGTGCGGCAATGGTGCCTGCTAATGTGCAACAAGATGCAATGATTGTCAAAGAGAAGGCATCTGCAATGCCCAGCGCTGTCAGGAAGACAGTTGTATATGTTGTTGAAAGAATGATGCCTGATATTTGATTAAGAGAGAAGAATGAGCCCGCAGTCAGGGTACGTTTGAGGTACTGTCGCTGGAATATGTGCCAGAACTTGGTCTCGGCGTGTAGCTGGCGCTCGCTTTCTTCAGAGAGCCTCATAAGACGGAGTTCATCCTCAACCTCGTCGTTGCTGGACCCACGCAGTTTCCGTAGGCTGTGCCGAGCGTCTTCCATCTTTCCCTTCCCGGTCAGCCATTGTGGGCTTTCTGGAAGGGACATTGTCAAAAATAGGAGAAGCACAGGCAGAGCACACTGTACAGCCAGTGGGATCTGGTACGATAGGTTCCCATGGATCTTTTCCGTTCTGAAGACCACCGCGGTACCTACCACGCCAGCCGTTAGATTCAAAATGTTCATTGAACTGACACATCTTCCGCGTATAGAAGCGGGAACCACCTAAGAGTGAGAATAAGCGAGGTTGAACATCGAACAAGGCGTAAAGGATCACTACCTCGGAGATATACAGAGGGGCAGTTGCATTTATAATACCCAAGGCAACCGAATTGATAGAACGACCCCCCACAAAGGCCCCTAAATTCGGGGCAAAGACCTGCAGTAATCCACCACCCACAGAGACGAAATATGCAATAATCAACGGCCATTTGCGACCAAGGTGGAAATTCATTGGCGACGCAAGTAGCCCTCCAATCACAGATCCCACCAATGGAAGGGAGAAGACCAGATTTTGGTTGCGAGCTGTGAGAACATATTTCCCAGTGACCGGGTTAGGTCCTTGGAATTTCTCAACCTGCGTTGAAATCAGCTTGGGTCTTTTGTTATGATGCAGCAGCACCCACAAAATCCGGTAATGCAGCAACTGGCGATATAATCTTGTCGTCGAATCCAAACAAGAATGAGGCGGCACCAAATACCGTACAGGCGAAGATTAACTGGACATTGATCGCTGATTTTCGATGTGACTCCCTGTCCGAGTAGTCGACATGTTGTGTTTCTGCCGAACCACATTTGAAAGACATGATGCGTATAAGGCCACACCCTCGAAGACACACTTCCATAGAAAATCAATTGGCTCTATATCGATTCATGGTTGGATGTGTTGATGTTTGGGGGATAGGGGAAAGGGGAAGTTCCCCGGATCCCCCGGATTTTCTTTCCAAAAACCTAAGCCCCCGGATTTTTGTTTGGCGAGTTTGTCCGGAACTTCCCATTTCAGTTAATTTCACCTGCAAAGCGAATGAGGTGATATATCTCATGACCTATATATACTCCATTGCCCCATCGGATTATCTCCTGACCATCTTCTCTACTCATTTGCCAGTTTAATTGGATTTATCTGAATTTCGCCGACAATCCTCCTGCAAATGCCGAAACTATTTCCGATTAACCCCCGAATCGGGAAATCCTTGTTGAAGATTAGGTCTTTCCATGATCTGGTCTTTGTTTTCTGGGAATTATAACATCGGGCTATAAATTTGAAGTCTCAGAGTATACCTCTCAGGTAATGCTGCATGTGCTTGGCGGCTGAAGTAGCCAAGTCTGAACTGCAATAGATCTTGGGAGTATATCTCCAGTTGGACCGACGACGACGCGTCGACTTTTTATTTTTTTACATCAGACCCAATATTAAACATGTCTGCTTCTGTTATTACAGAGTCAGACATGCTTGTCATCCAACATCAGCAAAACACTGGGCAATCTCCTTGCAAAACTCATGAAGAGAAGAAATTGCCTCGGAACCCTTCACAATGGAAGCCATTGTTTCATGTCACAGCACCAGCAGGATGGATGAATGACCCTTCTGGATTGGGATATGACCCAGAAACAGGGTTATACCATTTGGGTTTCCAATGGAACCCACACGGGAATGATTGGGGCAATATGTCCTGGGGCCATGCCACATCCCCAGATCTGGTGTCATGGAAGACAGCCACTGATCCCATCTTGACACCCTCTGCTGAATACGATCGCCTGGGCGTCTTTACAGGATGTCTACAGCCAACCGGTATCTCCGGACAGCTGGGATCTCTTACAATCATATATACCTCCGTGAGACATCTCCCAATCCATTATACGTTGCCATATACACGTGGAAGTGAGACTCTCAGTTTGGCTGTTTCGCAAGATAGAGGCGAAACCTGGGAACGCCAGGGCTGTAACCCGGTCCTCACCGGCCCACCTTCACATCTTAACGTGACGGGCTGGAGAGATCCCTGGCTCACCACTTGGGCTGATGGACCTCTTTCCAAACACACGCCGTCAACACTATATGGCTTTATGTCAGGAGGAATCGCCAACAAGACTCCCACGGTTTTTGTTTACACTGTCCATGCAACAGATCTCACCAAGTGGGATTTCATTGGCCCATTGATAGACGTCGGCCTCAATCTACGACCATCTCGCTGGTCTGGCGACTACGGCGTGAACTGGGAAGTCGTCAATCTGATGACCCTGAGCAATGACACTGGCGTTTCTCGGGACTTCATCATCATGGGAGCTGAAGGCTGTGTACCGTTGGATAATTCGAACCAAGATGGGGACCAAGAAGCACGCCAGAAACGAGTATCCCGGGCCCAGCTCTGGATGTCTATCAAATCCAACGGAGAAAAAAAACCTACATCCACAGACAGACCCCTGGCCTCATATGCATTCTCTGGTATCTTCGATCACGGCTGCTATTATGCGGCTAACTCGTTCTACGACCCGCAAACCTCGCAACATATCGTCTACGGCTGGATTACAGAAGAGGATCTATCCGACTCTTTGCGCCATCGCCAAGGATTCAGCGGCTTGGTTTCTCTTCCTCGTGTGGTGGAATTGATGACATTGAAAAATGTCAAGCAGGCACGAATCTCCCAGTTGAGTTCGATTACTTCAATCGACACCGTCCCCAATGCCTCTGGTACCTTCACGATCCATACGATGAAGATTAGCCCAGATAGCCGACTCATGCGGCTGAGACAAAGTGCCCGGGAGAGCCATCTCGCTGGGGTAGCCCTGTCTACATCACGTTCACAAAGTGCTATGCTGTTAGGAACATCTAAATGGGAAATTGACGCCGAGTTTTCCGTTAGTAAATCTTGTGCCCGTGTGGGTATGAAGATCCCACACACTTCTGGTAAGAAATCGATTCCAGTCCCCTCGGTCTATTGTATATGTATACTGATACTGTTATTCTAGATGGTCAAGATTGTACTACCCTTTCCTGGGACCCACGAAGTGAGACCTTCGAAATCCATCGACCACTGATTGACAACACCGAAGTAAACCACGGCTATGAAACTGCTCCGCACACGCTATTTACTTTCCTGAATGAGCATGGCGAAGAGGTTGAGGAGACACTTCGAGTACACGCCTACTTTGACGCCAGTGTGTTAGAAGTGTTTGTCAATGACAGAACGGTCATATCTACACGAATCTACCACCCAGCAGATCATTGCTTGGGACCACTGTTCTTCGCAGAGTCTGATGCCGGGGCGAATGATGAGCAACCAGCTGCGGTTCTCGAGCGAGCTTCTATTTGGGATGGACTTAGTGTATGAAGAATTGCAGTATGCAAATATTATGAACATTATATAACTATAGTATGCACGACATGTATTATGCAGCGCACTAGATCTTAGTAATAAAACAGGGTAGAATTAGATGCGGCATGGGGCATCTTAAGACCAGCAAGAAGATGAAGCAATCAAAATGCACCCGCCTAGAGCCATGGTCATCACATCGTCGCCAAACAGGCTTCCATTGCAAGCGCGAATACAAACACAAACTCCAAGCACAGCTTTCACTTCGTACCATACACCCCAGCTATATATGCATGGGTATCACAATCATAAGAGCAAACAAGAACGGAGCGGGCGAAGAGTTCCCCCGAACCTATCGAGAACCTCGCTTCCAGAATTTCCAGCTGGGAAGATCGATCCGACCATCTCGCTGGTAGATACGCCAGTAGTAGACAGGTACGCCGGTGATGATGAACGCGACGACGATGAGGGTTTGCAGGGGCTCGGAGATGATAGCCCGGCTGAGGAGAAATAGGCTCACGCAGCAGAAGATGATGGGTGTGCTGATCCAAGTGCGGTAGGGACGTTCCAGCTGGGGTTCACGGATACGGAGGACGATCAGGCCGAGAACGGTGAGGAAGTAGAAGGTGTATCCGGCTACACCGTAGAAAGTGACAAGGGTGCCAAATTCGCCGACGACGATGTAGATGGCAGTCAAAGCGCTGTTGAAGGCCATAGCATAGATTGGCGTGAAGCCGAGTCTGGAGTCATCGCCGAAGAGACGGGAGAGGGACTTGCGGGCCCAGGAGCGGCGACGTAGTCGGCTGCTTGTTGGAGGGGCTTGCGAGGGGGAGGCGTGGAGACCGATGCGGCCAAATATCGAGGGGAGATAGCCTTCCTTTCCGGCTGCATAGACTAGTCGGCCGCTTGTGAAGGTGGTTGCGTTGAGGGCTCCGAAGCAGCTGGCTGAGACGACGAGAGCTAGAATCAGGGCTCCAGCGGCGCCGAATACTTTTCCGCCAAATTGTACGGCGACGGTGTTGCTTGCCTCAATGGTTGAGTGAGGGAGAACGAGGAAATATGAGACATTGGCGAGAAGGTAGGATAGGATGACCAGTGGCATCGCGGTGTGGATAACTCGTGGTAGATCGCGGTTTGGGTTCTTGAATTCGCCTGTCACGTAGTTGGTCTGCAATGTGTGAGTGAGGGGATTTTAGAGATAGTTGAGTGTCAACATACATTGTCCCAGCCGTCAAATGCCCAGAGACCTGCATACAGGGCCACTGCAAAATCAGAGATCTCGGTGTTGGTTCCCTCGAACCACCCTGTTGTCTTCCATTCTTCGTTTGCGTTTCCTCCAGCCGAGAAGCCAGTCACGGCGACTATAATACCGATGACGGTGACACCCAGCAGAGCAACGAACTTGAAGAACATGAAGAAATCACCAATGCGTGTGGCGAACTTGGTGGAGATGCAGTTGAGCAGAGTCACTGCCACAAGTCCTCCAAATGCAACACCCTTATTGATCCAAGGATTGACGTCGCCCACATCGGCGCCCACAAATGCGCGAACGACATACTCGCCAAAAATGAGAGAGATAATTGCTGCAGAGCCAGGTTTCAGTACTAACACGGCGCACCATGCAAAAAGGAAGCCCGTCAGCTCTCCAAAAATCTTGGACAGATATATCTGTGAGCCCCCATTCAATGGAATTGCCCCTCCCAGCTCTGCATAGCTCGCGGCCCCCGTCCAAGCCAATAGACCAGCCACGGCCCAAACGATGAGCGAGGCGCCCGGCGACCCCGCGTTGGCATTGACCTGACTCGGCGACGAGAAGATACCAGATCCAATAATCAGCCCGACAATTAGTGACAGTCCATTCAGGTATGTCAATGTCTTATTCCGCTCCAGCGATCCATCTGTGAATGCTGGTCTGTCCGCGGACGGAGTACCTAGGGGCGCGTAGCCACCTTGTGTTTGCGACAGCGGGAATAGAGTGCCCCCGAAATCGAAAGCCGAGGATATGGAATATGAGCTTTGAGCTCTGTGGCGGCCTGTTCCTAGCTCGGCATCTATATGTGATTCTGCGAGAGGGTCTTCGTCCTCGAGAGAGAGCTTGCGGGATGAGGAGATGCCGTCGGGGGAAGAGGAGCGTGAGGACCCGCCTACGGAGCCGGGGGATGAGGATGCGAGGGAGGCGAGTTCAAGTGAATCTCGAGGCGCGGCGAGGCTGCCATTCTTGTTGCCTTGATATGTATTCGACATATTCTCTTTGTGTCTAGCGTCTATAGGTCGTCAAGGAGAGGCGGGAGGATGGCGGAAAGGTATGTCGTCAGGAGTGGCCAAGGGGAGTCTCCATTGCCCGAAGAGAATATCGAGAATGTCGAGAATGTCAAATCTGTAGAGAGGGAGAAATCTCCAAAGTGAGTTTAAAAGTGAAGAAGAAACCGCTAAAGGGGTGCATTTTCTTGTCGATCGCCCAATCGGCTCTTGGCCTCGACCTTCGGATTTCCGCCCCCGCGATTTCTTTTTCTCTTCAATTCCACGTCCATATGAACAACTTATCCTCTTTATGCTGTAGAAGCAGCCAAGGTCTTGGAGCTGTAGCTCGGCCTGTACGCTATGCTTCAACCTCGACCCCAACCCCAACGTCGTCACCAAAGTCCTCCCGTTCCAACTCGCGCCGCTGGCTAAGCATCGTCTTTGTGGGCGCAACGGCAGCAGGTGCAGGCGCCTATATCCGATCTCAAAACACATCCTCTGCAACCTTGAACCCTGAAACATTTACCAAATACAACCTTGTATCACGCGAGCCCGTGTCAGCAACCAGCAGCCTCTTCACGCTGCGACCACGCAATCCCAGCGACAGCAACTACGATGTTTACGAGGAAGCATGGCAGACAGGAGTCTGGAGTGTGATGTTTAAACAACCACAATTACAAATCGGACGAGATTACACGCCCCTGCCCACGACGGCAGCGACATCGCTAAGCGTCGACGACGAGAATGAGGGCTGCCTACGGTTCTTTATTCGGAAGGATCCCTTTGGAGAGGTCTCGCGCTATCTGCATAACATCGATGTAGGTGCTGACGTCGAGATGCGTGGACCCAAGATCGAATGCGCGATCCCGAAAGAAACGGAGAATATTCTCTTTATTGCTGGTGGGACGGGGATTGCGCCGGCTCTGCAGGCTGCGTATTCACTTTTGAATCGCAAGCACACTAAACACCGGCAGAAGATCCACATCTTGTGGGCGAATCGGTTGAAAGATGACTGCGCTGGTGGTCACAGTGACTCGCTGAAGCCGCAGCCACGCCGGGGCTGGTTCTCTGGGTGGTTTGGCTCGTCGAAGAGTCTGGATACTACGTCGGAAAATGCTGTGGATGGTGTGCGAACAGAAGACAGTTCTATTATTGTGCGAGAGCTAGAGGCGCTTAAGTCCCAGTATCCCGGACAGGTCACCGTGGATTACTATTTGGATGAGGAAAACACGTTCATTAGAAAGGAGGATATCCGAGGTGCTATTGCAACAGCTTCAACGAACGACTCTCGCAAGAGCAAGAGCAAGTTGATTTTGGTTTCCGGTCCTGAGGGATTCATCAGCTACATGGCTGGGCCCAAGCTGTGGGCACAGGGCCAGGAGCTCCAGGGCCCCCTAAAAGGAGTCATCAAGGAACTTGATCTCAAAGATTGGGGTGTGTGGAAGCTCTGACTACTTTCTCTTGGGCTTTGGACCACTTTTGTACCAATATCGGAATCCTTTTGTCATTAAAGCATATATATAGCATGGATATACTGGGAGTTATGTTGAATAAACAGTCGCAACTGTCCTGGACGCGTTCTAGCGTCCTATTTCGTTACCCATCACACATTCCTGGCCCAAAGCCCCAGGTTGAATTCGCTCAAACACCGATGTTATATCCAAACACAATCTACTGTTCTGTAGCAAAGTCCTCGAGGTACTTCACCAACTTCTGCACGTTCTCCAATGGCACCGCATTGTAGTTGCTGGCACGCATACCGCCTACACTGCGGTGGCCCTTGAGGCCCTGGAGAAGACGCTTCTCAGCGCCAGCGATGAACTCCTTTTCCTTTATATCATCGCCACCGCTGACACGGAAGCAGATGTTCATGCGGCTGCGGACGCTAACATCAGGGACAACCTGGTACACTTGCGGGAACTTGTCCAAAACACCGTAGATAAGCTGCGCCTTCTTGTTGGCAATTTCCTCTTGCCCGCTGACCTTTTGGGCGCCAAACCGAGCCACCAGGTCGGCCATGACCTGACCGGCAATCCAAAGGTTGAAGATGGGGAGGGTGTTGTAGAGGGAGTTGTTCTTTGCGAGGGTTGCGTAGTCGAGAACAATTGAGCCGGGGAGACCGCCAATGTTCAACCGTTGGAGGAGAGCAGGGGGAGGAGTCGCGGTCTGGGGAGGGAGGAGATCATTGCGAACGATGGCAATGGCGATACCGGCAACGCCGATGTTCTTCTGTGCGCCACCCTGTATATATTGTTAGTTTACTAGTAACGAGGGGAAAAAAAAATTGAAGCCAACGTACGAAGAGGACAGCGTATTTACTGACATCAACCTTGCGGCTGATAAAGTTGGAGCTCAAATCGGCGACGATGAGACGCTCGTCTTCGGCATCCTGACCCTGAGCCTCCAATGACTTGGGGAACTGTTGGAATTCGACACCATCAACGGTCTCGTTGTCGCAGAAGTAGACAAACGCCGAACCTTTGCCGCCTTCCTTCTTGGTAGGAGTCAACGACCAGGAGTCCTCAGCGGGGATTTTTCCAAATTTCCCATTGTTGGCCTTGCGAGCATCAAGGGCAACATTGACGTATTTCGAGCCAATCATTCTGCTCGCTTCCTGGGAAGCCTTGAGCGACCAAGATCCAGTCACGAGGTAATCCAGCTTCAGCTCCTCCTCGACCTCCTTCTGAAGTCTCTGGAAGACCAATTCGTCAACCTGAGCCTGTTCCGCATCGGGCTGTGCCTTCTTCACGTCGGCTTCGGCCCTGCGGCGGCGGCGCTCAATCCAGACGGGGACCAGGTTCTGCACGACAGCGCTGAACCCGCCACTGCCTCCGGCCTGCATGAACAGCACCTCATAGTTATCAGGGATATCGAGGAGAGCGGATAGGTCTGCTTTGGCATCGTTGAGGATCTTGTTGGCGGCGGGGGAGCGGTGGGAGATCTCGCCGAGTCCGAGTCCGGTATCGTTGAAGTTGACGAATGCTTTTGCGCCGGCTTCGACGACTGACGTCGGGAGGGGAGCTGGACCAGCTCCAAAGTAGGAGACTTCTTGTCGGGAAGGCATGATGTGATTTATTGAGGTGGGCTGAGGTAAAAGAGAACGAGAGAGGCGGGAGAGAAAAACCTCTCAGTGTGGACCGTAGTGGATCAACCTTGGAGGAAAAGTAGAAAGAGATATGGCTTTTTATATGTTCAAATGACAGGATTTATTGAAATTTGAACGTGCAGCAGAATGTATTCACCGGATCTACGTTCATAGGTCCAACTGACTGTTTTATAGGTCAATCCTAATTATGGCGGGGTATGAGTCAATGCGGTATGGGCCATTGAGTCACCATCTCAGAGTTGAAGATGCAAAATGATTTCTTTAAAATGGGTTGGACGGGCTAAATACATAGGAAAGGTATATCATAGACTTAGGTATCTCACAATTGTCTAGGATCTAATCTATTCGAGATTTCGAGGGATCAACGTGGGAATGGCGGGGTTGATCGACACATACAAGGTTGTGTAGGATGGAATGGTTGTTCTCCCAAGGGTATATACGTAAAAGGTACATATGTAAATATGTAAATATGAAATAAAAGACCTCATTCTCTTCCTAGCTCCAACTCCGTACTGAGCCTATGTAGACAGATATAAAAGAGGAAGACCAACATCGGCAAAAGAATCACGTGGTATAACACGTGACTAATCTTCGGTCCGAAGTATACCCGGGGCAACAATATAAAATTGCCTCTGTGGTACTGGAGGTCCTAAAGTGAGGCGGAAATGAATGTTTTCTTTTGTTTTCAAAGACTTTTCTAGAATACTGGGTCTGGATATAATATTGTATGGAACTGGTAGAACTATGTAATAAAAAGGCAAGCAAGAGCACATACCATATATATTGAATCATGTATTCAAAGTATTTTCTGCTAAGAAATTCGATATAGCAGAGAGCCAAACCCAAGCGCATCAAAGCCACCCGACGCCGAGCCATAATTTCCACCACCACCCTCAACACCGTCCGTGGAATTCGCATTCACCCAGTCACGGTAGGCATCTGTCCAAGATGAGTTGAGGCCCTTAATCTGGCCGTAATGAGCAGAGAGCAGCTCGAAACCGGGACGAACAGTTCCCCGCGCAGCGTTTGAAATAACAGTCTGATTTCCCTCGAAGCTTTGGTACAGAGTGTAGGGGACCTCATAGCCAACATTGTACTTTGCGACATATTCAGCCCTAGATTGCTCAGTCAATAATTGCCACAGCCAATGATATCTTATTGTAGAATACTGACGCATTGAGAATTTCGTTACTGTATTCGGCGAAAAGGTCATCTCCCTGGTTAAACGCCTGCTGGGCTATGATACCAAGAAGCACCATGTCCAGTGTTGAATGGCCCTGGTCCCGGCCAGCTTCTTGTCCTTGTGTCAGGATCTTGTCTGAGCCAGATTCCGTGTAATTGGCAACCGCAAAAACAGGGAAAGCCCCGTTTGAAGGGCCGGTGCGGACATAGTTCAACGCGTAGTCGTACATGGTCTGATTATCGGTGAAGATACCGATAGCAAGGAGAGATGCGAGGTTACATTGATCCCAATTGGCGTAGTAGTGATAATTGTCCTGACCGTTATGTTCTTCCATGAACCGCGTGTTCATCGAGGCGAATACATTCGTCAACATGGTTGCAGTAGCAGTCTTGTTACTGCTGTCCCAACCAGAGTAATCAGACATCAGCTCTGCCGCATTGGCCATCTGGTACCCATAAATACCGGAGGCAAGGAATTTGTCGCTGGTACCGTCGATGCCGGTCAGTGTGACAGCCCAGGCATTCAGAATATTGACCGCGGCGTCTGCATAGCTCGTATCGTTGGAGATTTTCCAGCGTACGGCAAGTTGGTACGCAGCTGCAGTGTCTTTGTACAGGGACGGATAGTTTTGCCCATCGACGCCGTTGTCACCTCGATACACCGTCTCTTTGGGGTTAGGCTGGTAGGTTGACTGAGCATAATCGCTCGTAGTCAATAGAGTCCATGTGGTATTCCAAGGTTCATCCTTGTTCGCGACGTGCTTCTGGATGCGCTCGAAATCCGACGCGGTGTGAAGCGCCCCAGGGTGAACAAAGGCCGTTGTAGACAACGAGAAGGAGAGAAGAGATAGATAAGAGAGAAAAGTGGGCATCTTGGAGATAAAAGAGTGACTGAGAGTACAGATTCAAAGTAAACAGCGCTGGTCTTTTGAATAAATAGTCGAATCTCCCGGACGAGGTCCGCATATCCATTCCCATGATAGACAACCTACTGTGTGGGATAGATTAAGCAAGAAAGTACATCAAAACCATTCAACCGGAGGTAGCGGAGAAAGGTCGGAGACTGTCCGGTCTAACGCGCGTCCACAAATCCGATCGTCAGTATACCCAGGTGTTCATTCAATAAATTAAAAAAAAACCCCCGCATAGAAGGGTTCGTTAAGATCTCAAACACAAACTAAGTGACTGTGGATTCTATTTGGCTGCTCCCCCTGTTGGGTATAAGCAGACCCGAGCCGGAATTGCGATCGACGATATTACATATAACGACCTCGAACCTTTTAATCTAAATAATGGATAATGGGGTGATCCCACTCAGGAGGTAGACAGAGGAAGATTTTAAACTTGGATACGGACTGACTTAAATTCTAAGGGTACGGAGTCGTACGGAGTCGCATGGTGTATATAGTAGATTCCAATCCCAAATGGGACGTAAGGTCTGTAGGTTCCCCATTTTGCTTTTCCTTTTCCATTTCCATTTCCATCCCCCCCCCCCCCCCCTTTACGCCTCATTGTTGCTTGAGGATGAATGAACAACAATGTGCCCCTGCTATATTCGGGGGAGTGAGTATACCCAATGACCTGATCGGACCCGGGGAAAAGCACGGAGAAGATCCCGGGGTAAATCCGGGGTGCATGTTGTTGATATGGCTTCAAATATATAAATCAAATTATTGTCAAATCCCCTTTATCCTTTTCAATATTACCCTTGGGTAAAAATCTCCAACATGCATTTCAAGAACATCGTCGCGTGTCTCACTTTATTATCGACTGGGTGTGCTGTGGCCCTGAAGCCGTTTGTTCACCCAGGCGCACTACACACAAATCAAGATATCCAAAGAATAAAGAAGTACGTGAAAGCCGAGGCTCAGCCATGGTTCCGTGCATGGCAACATCTTGAGTCTACCACATTGGCCCAAACGACGTGGCTTCCAAGGCCTCACGAGATTCTTGTCCGTGGCACCAATGCTACATGGCAGCCCATCCCTGCACAAAACTATGGCGACGCATACCGCGACGCTCATTCAGCGTACCAACTCACGCTTCGCTGGCTCATAGGAGGTAACACTTCTTATGCTGACCACGCCGTTCAAATTTTGAATGGCTGGGGCTCGACACTCCGTGATATCAACGGGACCGAAGACAAATTCCTCGCAGCAGGCCTGTACGGTTATCAATTTGCCAATGCAGCTGAGCTCCTCCGTGTTTATCCTGGGTGGGGAAAGACCGATCAGACTATGTTTGGCGACATGCTGAACGATGTATTTGCCAAATACAACTTTGATTTTCTCGAGCATCACAACTACAAATCAAACTTTTACTATGCGAATTGGGATTTGTGCAATATTGCTTCTCTACAGGCAATTGGAATTTTCAACGATAACCAAACCATGTACGAGTACGCTGTTCACTACTGGCAATATGGCCTGCCAGATAGTAGTGTTGTCGTCAACGGTGCACTGCCGTACTTTTCCATCGCCAACTTCACGGAGGATACCGACAAGCAACTGATGCAAATCCAAGAATCCGGCCGTGATCAAGGCCATGCAACCCTGTGCATTGCTTTACTAGGAGTCATTGGACAACAAGGGTGGAATCAAGGCGTCGATCTCTTCTCGACATACCAGCACGAGATCCTCCATGCGTGAGACCCTCCTTTCTTACAATCTTGAAAAGGAACTGACAACAATTTTCTGCTATAGGGCTGAATATGTTGCTAAATACAACACCAACAACACTGTTCCCTATACCCCTTACACTAGCTGGGAGGGCCTGCTGAGTGTTGTGGCTAGTAAGGACCGCTTTAGTGTCCGACCAGGATACGAGGCTGTTGTATCTCACTATACTGGCGTCAAGCATATGGATGCGTCGTGGTCAATGAAATACAGGGATTATGTTAATCAGAATATCAGTGCGGATGTTGAAGGTGGTGGTGGTGATTATGGTCCTAACTCTGGCGGCTACGATGCGTTCGGCCACGGTACTTTGCTGTACCGTATTAAATCGGATGCATAGGAACTTTTTCATACTGCAAGTATACATTCATGTTTCTTGAATTCGCTGTGAATCGAACTGGCGTCCTTGGAGGGAATCCCGAGTGCTTACTGTTGAGATGACTTTTGAAATGAACGCCAGATAGGCAGGCTGAAATGGGTTTTTGGGGGTGTCAGGCCAGTAGCTTAGGATAACAAGTGAATGTTCAAATGAAGTTTTTGGAAATCAAATCTACTACTACTGTATTAGATTGATAGGACCACATAGGCTAACACTCTTTCTTGTAAGAATATTTTGGCCCTGTGACATTTCATTCATACTTTTAACCTAACCCTTTACTTGCTATCTATTGAGATTGAATAATGGCCCCTCGACGCAAATTGAGTTGGTAAAGGATCATATCGAATGACCATTGTTATGATAGCTCAAGCAGAAAGCTAGCTTCTTGTTATATCTACTAACAGAATGGCATGGAGAGGATGAGACTTGTGTTTGTATTCCGTGGATATACGCGCAATCTCTGTACTAGTAGACATAACGGAAATTTGGATTCTCACGATCCGTAAGATCCTGGAAAGCCAAGGCGTGAGATATTTCACTTGTCGCCCGTTCCTTGGAACGGTTCCTAGCCATGATAATCACCCGGGTCAAAATAACTATGCCCATATAGATAGCATAGATAATGACGTGCGTCAAGAAGCCATGTAGATAGCGAGGAGCGTCTCCATCCCGGAAAATCTGAGGTGCAATCAGATTACCAACGGACCAGCCAATAAAGAGCATCGTCATAGTAAAACCCTTCTTTGTTTGTCCAGCAATGTTTCGAGTGATGAGTGAGATGATCATGTTGCCTTGCGCGGGGAAAAATTGTGTGCAGTAGAACGCGATCAGCATCCCCCCTGCGTTCGATGGAGTCGGGGTGACCACTAGAATAACAATTGTGCCGACGATGGACGGGATTGTATACAGCTATACTTTTAGATCAGTAAAATGGCGCAGTGTCGTTGGAGACAAAATACTTACTATCATCACAAGGCATGTTTGCTGGAAACGCTGGGATGCCCACGCAGATCCAATCATGACTATTATGCTCCAAGCTCCCTGGGCAATATTGAGGAGCTGGGTTTGAAGAAGCGTGAACCCAAACTTCTGGATGATGAGATTGGAGAATACTCCCAGGCCGCCAATAACCAAGTTAGCAACCAGGATGAGCATGACACAGCACCAAACTAGGGGATCCTGGAGGGCTTCGGCCACCTGGTATTTCTTGTATTTTTTATTCTCAATGCCAGTCTCATTGTGTCGAACTCGTTCGACCATCAGACGTTTGTCATCTTCAGAAAAGCATTTGGCCGAGAGAGGGCTATCTGGAAGGAAAATGCCGACAACGATGGACCAGAGGCACGTAAAGAGACCGAGCACGAGGAATAGAAGTTGCCAGTTTTTAATCGGGCCATTGGTGAAATGGGAGACGCCAAAGCCTAGAAGGCCGCCGATCTAAGAGGATTAACAGTTGATATATAAACAAACAGAAGAAAAAAGAAACACATACAATTAGTTGTACTCCACTCATACAATACCAAATCGAGTTCAAAAGGGATTGTTCTTCTCTCTTATACCACATTCCTGTCCTGTGAAAACATTAGCCCGTGATCACTTTAATAAGACTAGACTGAGAATTACAACTTACACTAGCATCATTGCTGGCTGGACACAACTCTCAAAGAATCCCAACAGGAATCGGACCGCCATGAGAGACGCGAAGTTGGTTGAAGCCGCTGAGCATGCCACAACGGCTCCCCAAATAAAGATATTAATAGCGAGTGTCTTCGCCACGGGGAATTTCTGTAGAAGCAAGTTCTGCGGATATTCGCCACATAAGATGCCAATGTATAAGATTGTCCCTAACCATGAATACTGGGTATCCATTAGCTAGTAGATTAGAAATGGCAAGGTATAGAGGACTCACTTGCTGGCCCACCAGGTGAGCATCATCCTTGATACCCATGATCGAGGCATAGTTCAAGATGCCTTTGTCTAAAGATTGACAGAAATAGGTGATGACCTGGATGGCAAGTACACGACGAGTGATCTTCCAGAAAAGTCGCCGGTCAGTGGTAGCATCCATTTGAATCGGGTCAGCCATGTAGGGATCCTTCTTCTCGTTGCCATCTTCACATGTATCTGCCATATTCGAGTTCGATTTCATCTCCTCATGATCGACGGTGGCCATTTCGGTTTCTTTAGCCATAATGCGTAATGCGTAATGCGTAATGAAATAATAAGATAGCCCAAGTGGTTTAGGGCAGGTGAATAATTAATAATTACACCCTAGTTGGATGAAGTCAGCTATCTATATCCCCATATGAGCCGACACTCTCACCTTTGCCAAAGACAAAATTGGCCGGAGGAAGTCTCGGACATTCTCCCGGGATCTCCTCTTTACCAATTTGGTTTGGACACGGCGTTGCTCCATCAGTTCCTCCGTCCTCCGATTAATGTCAGGCATGAGCTCAAACCACTCAAAGCACTGATAAATTGTCCCTCCTAACAATTAATGATGTCCACCATATTCATTTCCCCTAACACAAACCCCATTTGTAACCATGGTATCTGCGTCAATTCGAACATATGATAGTCCTCCGGATCTTTTGATCAATCAAGATTTCATCGTTCATGTACAGCCGAGAATAGACACCGAAAAATGGTCTCAAGTTGCGGCCTACGCCATTGACGTGGCCAACGCGAACGTCACCTGCAATGACTTCAATCATCACTCGATCGCTGTGGCGTCCTTCGACTTCAATGGAGCCGTTAGAGTCAAGGTCACATATACGCCAGGGTCAGTCGACTTGGCAGCAATCCGACCAGCCTCGCGAGATATCAAGACTGAGTTGCGAGACAACGTAATCACATTCACTTTGGATCATGCCCAAGATGTGATGCTCGAACTGAATGGCAACAAGTGGAAAGCCCTCCACTTGCTGACAAACACCATTGATCCAGACGCGCCGAGTGAAGATACCAAAGATGTCTGGTACTTTGGACCAGGCTTGAATCAAGGATCGGCATACTCGAGGATCACGGACGGGGTCAATCTCATGATACCGTCAGGTATTACCGTGTACATCGCCGGTGGAGCTTTCATTAATTTCCGGCTGAACTTTGTTGGTATCTCCAACAGTGGTGTGCGAGGACATGGCTTCATCCTCGGTCCAAAGGGTGGATATGTCCATCGAGAACTCGGTGGTGCAATACATATGAGCCAAGCGAGCAATATTCATGTGGAAGGTGTCACATCCTTGGGGGCCAACGGATTCAGTCTCTCTGCCGGAGAATGCACGAATGTGCATGTCAATAGATATCGCTCGTTCTCATCTTCTGGCAACGGAGATGGAGTGGACTTTTTCTGTTCATCCGAAATCATGATCGAAAATTGCTTTTTGCGCAACTCGGACGATACCATTGCCCTCTATTCTCATCGCTGGGACTGGTATGGAGATTCAAGTAATATCACCATCCAAAATTGCGTTTTGCTGCCAGATATAGCCCACGCTATTATGATGGGTACACATGGCAACTGCGCCAATCCGGAGACAATTAGCGATGTCACGATCCGGAACATTGATATCTTGGACCAAGAGGAGAACCAGATGTGGTATCAAGGGTGTATTGCTATCAACGCTGCCGATTCAAACTTGATCCAAGATATCTATGCAGAGGATGTCCGGGTGGAAAGGATCACCCGCGGCCAACTTCTCAATATCCGAGTGATGCACAATAAGATGTGGTGCGCTGCTCCTGGACGGGCGATTCGAAATATCACTTTCAAAAACTTTTCTTTGTGCACGTGTGACTCCAGAACCATCAATCCGTCGCTGATTTTGGGTTATAACGAGGCTCAACGGGTCGAGGATGTTACTTTTGAAAACTTAAAGATCGACGATAAGGTGATTTCTGATCAAATGGAGAAGCCCAGGTGGTATATGGTCTCAGATTTTGTTCCTTTGTTTATCAATGAGCACGTCAAAAATGTCAAGTTCATCGCGTCATAAATTATCCCTAGGACAACCCCCTTCTCTGTTATCTGCTTCGGTGAACAACATTACAGCTCTATCTATTTTTGAGCATTGTGTAGATTCCAAAGGATACATTCTACTGTATGAATAGAACTAATGATAGTCTTCAATGCACGTATTGTGTTCCTTCGACTACGTATTGAGATTTTACCCTTAATAGGCTTAATTAGTATGTAGATGCCAGAAAATGGCTGGCTTCCATTAGCAAGTGCACGCTAGTAATCCCACTAGTTGTGTCTGACATGTATCTAATATATTGCTCAACGGAAACAGGCACTTAATGTATCTCCATCGCATGAGCCACGAATTCATATGTCCAATCGGGTCCAATCAGACATCCAACGCCCAATTTAATCAATGCCTGCACATTCAGAGATTCAAATTCTAGTCTGCATAGAGCCATACCTGGTATATCACTAATCACTATCATCCCTCTTGGTTGCCTAGTCTATGGCGGGTAAAGTTCCGGAGCAACTCCCGGGTACTAAGATTCACCTTAGAAGGCTAGTATTGTTCATAAGTACCTCAAGCTTGTACAATCATGGTCCTATCTTCTTTCTAATTGGATTTATTTTAAACTTCTTAATTTGGTCAATTTTCTCGGTCATTTGATATCAAGCCTACTCCGGTGTACTTACTGTCGGTTCCAGATCATTTCGAAAGATGCCTCTAGAAAACAACATCACAGTATGTTTTGAACCCAATACCCTCCTAGCATATGGTCTTTTGTTAAATGTGTCCAGCAGATTACAAAGATCAGTCCAGAACCATGGGACTTCACTGGCATGAATGGTTTCAGCGCAGCTCCGACATCACCAGAGCGGGTTACAAGGGCACTTTTTTCAGAGTCTGTCGAGGCAAAGCTATGGCAGGTAGCTGCTCGCGCATTAAAAAGCGTGAGCATTACTAGCAAAGTCGCCAAGAAATCAGATCTAACGTATATTTAGTCCAGCCCACCCGTGTTGTATCCGGAATATACCGACGAAAGAGGCAATTATGTCTACCGAACCCTTGATTTCTGGACATCGGGCTTCTTTCCCGGCTCCATGTATCTTCTGCTCGAGCGGTCGATTCGGTATAATCGAAAGCTGTCTCTACGTAGACCTGTCGACGAGATAAGACCTCACCCACTCCAACTCGAGCACCTATGTCGGTGGTGGACGACCAATCTTCATCAAAATTCACTCAAACGTGATACACATGATGTAGGGTTTATGATCGCACCGTGGGCTATGAAAGCCTGGGAGCTGAAACGGGACCCAGCTGCATTCAGCACTTTGGTCATGGCCGCGCACTCCCTTGCGAGTCGGTTTAACGCAGTTACGCAATGTCTGCGTAGCTGGGACACCTGCATTACCAACCGGTACCAATTCACAGATCCATCCTTGGACTTTTTGGTGATTATCGATAACATGCTCAATCTTGACCTCCTTTTCTGGGCGGCAAAGGAGACTTCGAATTCCGCATTATATGACATTGCGCTGGCACATGCGCGCACGACACGAAAGCATCATATTCGGAAAGACAACAGTACATTCCATGTCGTGAACCTTGATATGGAGACCGGCAATGTCAAAGCTCGATTCACAAACCAGGGCTACAGTGATGACAGCTGCTGGGCTCGAGGACAGGCATGGGGGATTTTGGGGTTCATGCAGACCTTCCATTGGACTCGGGACTTGTCGTTCATAAGCCTAGCCAAAGACCTGGCAGACTACTTTATTGCGCATTTGCCAGCTGATGGAGTGCCGTACTGGGATTTCAATGCCCCGGTGACAGAATCGTGTCCCCGTGATACGTCTGCAGCTATGATCGCTGCTTGCGGCATGCTTCTCATTTACAAAGAGCTTATTGGTAGCCAAGAGGCGAAGCACTATCTCCATCAGTCGGTAAAGCTAGTCAACAGCGTGGTTGATAAGTTCCTGGGTCGTGAAACCCTTCAGTTTAAGGCTAGATGTCTTGTATCGCAAGTTTCAGTCTACCCAGATGGCTGTATCCATGGGCAAACTGGGGACGGCTTCGATGTTCTACAAGTTGTGGGTGATATTGTAAATACACCAAACGCATGTGAGACTATTCTTGGCGGGGCCACCATTAATAACTATGAGTTCGCACCGAGAAGGTGGTCAAACCATGGGCTAGTTTATGCGGACTATTACTTTTTGCTGTTTGGCAACATGATACTTGAGATGGGGCTTGAGTCTTCCATCGTGTGATGGTAGTGCAAAGAAGTGAATAAGATATTTGCTTGACACATGTTATTAAATTTGCTAGAAGATGCAGAACAATACATTTGATCGGAGAACATACTTAGAGCTTTCAGCCATTGATGCTATCGGTCGGGAAATCCCTTGAGCCCTTGTTGGACTCTTGGCTCTCAACATGTACTACACCATAGCGACTTATCCTTTGACCAGAATTAGGGGTAGGATTGAAAACTTGCGCGAGGTCGGCTTGGAGAGTGATGTCATTTCCAAATGCTGCATTGGCATCTTGCCACATACCAAGACGCGGATCTTGTGGTTGCATATTCAATTGGGGGTTTGCCTGATAAACATCAGATTGTCCATATACCGAGAGCGGGTCTGATGCAGAGAAAATAGGAAAGCCTTGCTGGAAAGACGGTGGGAGTGGTGGGAAAGCCAGGCTAAATGGATCTAAACCATATGGCTCTTGTGGCGACTGCCTTCTCATGTCCTCAGAATGATGTTCTCCATTGGCAGCCCCGGACTTGTGTATACCAGGCTGAAATGGCGAGGTGTCGGTAGGAATTTGCGCTGGGGGTTGCTCCTTACTTCCGTCCCAACATGCAGTTTGCCTGATATCTAAGCTCGGGCGACGGGCAGCACTAGAGTCATTTTGGGCATCCACGAGTCGCTTCGCGAAAGTCGAGGCGAGATTGTCACCTGTTGGGCCCATATTCTCGTTTCTTCCTGTCCATCGCTGAGAGATTTCGAGAAGGCCGGCAATCAAGGTATCGAGAGCGGGTGGAACAATGACCTGGTTGTATCTTGCATGGGCTAGGAGCATTCTCCCGGCAATAAATAGACAGAAAGAAAATTGAGGGTTGGTAAAGATGGGCGATAACGACAGGAATTGTTGCCCAATAGTAGCGATCTCAGAGGCAGCCTCTAGGCACGTTTCTGCAGATGAGGTAGATGGCAGCTTGATTGAGCAATTATTCCAGTGAGGGGGTGGGTAGGCAATTGCTTGATGCAGTAGAATGACCGCGGTATTATGTGTGATATGCGCCAGTGTCAGGTTCGGGTCCATGACTCCATCCGAATTGAGGACGGATGCCTCTCGCCATCTTCGGGGAAGGTACAGTTTCCACCTAAGAGGATACCATGACGGTTAGTAGGCCACACGCGCACATTTTGAAGCTATACAGAACGAACTGGATGAGCCGCAGATCCAACTCTTTGAATTTCATCATCCAAATCCGAGCCTTTTCCGCATCTGCAACAATGAAGGGATGGTCGAGGAAGAAGTTTGTGACCAATGTAAGTGATTCGGTAGCCTCAATATTGTACGCAAATCCACCTATTGGGAGATCATCCGAATTTATCGCCCTACTGCTTAGAAGTGATGAGGTTGCTGTGGTATCCTTCGAATCTGAGATGCCGAAAAAAGGCGCGCAAACCTCGGTCTCCTTCTCCCAGACCGCTCCCTCACAGGGGAGGCGACGTTTCAAATTGCTATCCAGACTTACCTCCCGGCCCGTGGACACACTACAGAAGCGGTCCATCAAAAATACAGCCCAAAATATTCGCCGACGCTCCTCGACTTCACTCCAAGACCTCGACGGAGGCAGGAAAACCATCCGCCGAATCAACGACTCACCCGAATTAGTCGAACGATATAAAACATCTTCCTCGACGCCGAGTTGAAGTTGATTTACCGCGCCGATAGTGCTGCCGACGATAGACCACGACGAAGGTCCGCGTCCTCGTTCAATCTGCCAAAAATGGGAGGAATCAGTTGACCAGAAGGATCAGATGACCACTTTATGCGGCTCACTGTTTCAAACGCAATGATGATCAATGCCTGCAAATGCTCGACCGAGTAACAATCGGTGCTAGCCAATATGACTCTTTTTCTGCTCTGCTCAGCGACAGATGCCTTCGTCCCTGTGTCCAGTCCTTTGCTCTGGGAGAAACGTACACATACAGCGATGATTGCGTGAAGGATGCAGGAAATACGGGGACGCTCATCTGAAGATTGCATGCGCTCCCAAAACCTTGTCACGTGGAGAATCGGTATCCAAGGGTGTATATTAACAAAGTAGAAGCTCACTAGCTCCGTCATAATCTCAGTCGAGAGAAGACCGTCGGTGTCCTCGTCCATGCTGACTGGAATGAAGGGCGCAGTAGTCGGCACACAGCGTCGTCTTTTTGTTGGACGAGAAGCTGACTCCACCTCCTCCTCCCTCTGATCCAGTGACGATGATGTGCGAAGCAAAGCGGACTTGAGCTCATCTCGTCGCCGAGCGAGATCTTCAATATTGGTAGATCGCTCGTTAGACGCAAATAGAGCCTCATTCGGATACATCGCCTTCCACAGTTGTTGCCAAAGGAATTCCTGACCGAGGAACATGTTCTCGAGTGTTTCCATGCGGCGATAAAGTTGATCCATTGCGCCAGTGCGGAGGCCAGGCTTCATTCGACGTTCATCATAGACGCACTCGACGCCGGAGCGGGTGCATTCTACACAAGGTTGAGTCCGGCTGCAGCGCGATTTTTTCCTTCGGCAAAGTTGGCAAGCGGGCAGATCCTCGTGGAACTTGGATGCATCCTGTGGCTCTTGGCCGTTTGTGTCGACGCTCTCGGTGTGACTTGACGTGGGTGGCATTGAAAATGTTTCAAGTCCAACACATATGCAATAGCAATAAATAGTGTAGATAGAGAGTTCTCATCAAGATCTCCAGGACTCGACTTCACCATTAAAGGGGGTATGACGAACGCAGAGGGACGACACGTGTTTTCGGCTGAGTACCCCACGGGGTAAAAGAAGTTTAATTCACCGAGCAACGGACAATCTCCGAGACAATTTGTCCGCCTCCTAAGTGTCTATCTAGATTATTTCTAACCAATCTGCCATACTAACATATCCAAATCACGCAGGTTAAGCCCTGCAAATGCCAACAATGCACGAAATTGGGCATTGTAACTTGTACCGTAAATCCGCTGTAGCTGGATCTTGTCCTGACCATTCAAGAACGAGGTGCCAGATGTGGAGCTAAGTACAGCCACAATCTGACTTGGGGAAAGGAATGATGTGAGATGGGATTTCATATCAGCATGAAGAATGACAGAGATTATGGCAACGGCGACACAGCAACCTAGAGCTCGAGCAGTATTAGTTGCACCCATTATCGCAGCTGATTGAGACAGTTTAGTAGGTCGACGACAATCCATGTCGATTTGAATGGATCCTCTAAGTCGCTGGATATTGCTTGAAGAACTGTTGAAATTATCGTGGTCCCTAGCGCGGAGAGAAAGAGGCAAATCTACAGGCTACATCAATATGTAACTCATCCGTATTTGAACGAGGAAATAAAGCAGTGACACAAATCCTGCCATGATGAAGCAGATTCGCCAGGTCCCAATTTGGGCGCCATCGATATGGGCCTCCCGCTTGCGCCGATTTTTTCAAAAACATGGGGTTACTCAAGAGGCTGGATGTTACGAGTTTCCATATTTGGCGGGAAACGTGCCTATGAAACCTGTTCTCAGAACTAGTCCCTTGAAAGAAGTTAGAGGAAAGGGACTGCATACATTGAAACAAGGTGAAATCACAAAATTAATCAAGCCTCACTATTTCAGACGGAAGCTTCCGGCTGCCTAACATCGCTGCATGGAGGGGCATCGTACGAGTACAGATCCAATTTGAGTGCTTCGCGAATTCGAGAAAGTGACTCCTAAATCCACACATCGTGATCTCAGTTACTAGGATGTTCAGGCTCGGGGTTGACTCCCAGTGGAGAGATTCAAATGTTGGGTTCAGCACTCGAGATTTTCCTCATTAACACTTTGGAGTGGCTATTACAAGGGCCCGCTACATAGATTATAGAGTGAGAGCAAGATAACCAAGTACATAAACGTCTATATTCCACAAATGATCGACTCGGCGGGATTCGTTTGGAAATCCCCGAAGTCCGTGGTGGCCTGAGGAAACGACAAGGATGTTTATCTTGGGGGCCATTTATATCCCGATCTTGGGGAGCATACTTCATTTCTCGCTCTCTCATTCTCTCACAATGAGTCAGTCCCAAGTACATCCATCTCGAAAGATCTTGCTGGTGGTTACCACCGGGGGATTCACGCATGCCGGTAAAATTCAGAACACCAAATGTGACGGATATAGACACTAAAGAACCTACACAGCTCCTGTTCTAGAAATTGGCCGGGTCCTCGCGGACCGTGGCCACGAAATTGAATTTGCGACACTCGAGGGACAAGAAAGCTGGGTGGAACCCGAGTATGACTTTGTCAACAAGATTCATCACTTGGGTCCCGGACCAACCGCCGTGCAACTGGATGGTCACTATCGACGTATGCAGGCATGGGATATCTCCAAGGGTATCGGACAAGCCATGGGATCCAAATATCTGTTCGACTCCTTCTGGCCTCAAACCTACCATGGTCTCAAAAAGATCATGGATGATCCCGTCACTAGACCGGACATGATAATTGCGGATTTCTTCGTCGAAGCAGCCAACGATATTCACTTCGAGTACAAGTTCCCAGTAGCAATCGTCGCTCCCAATATGCCTTACTTCCAGTTGCCCTGTTCGTACATCCCCGGCCAGCCAGGCTTCCAGCTTCCAGGGACCATGACCTCCGAAGATGCTCCGATGTGGCTACGCATTATGAATGAGATCTTCTTATTCCCGGATCTTCCTGCTATCATACGTGCAGAAAAATGGAACAAGAAGATGCGAAGTGACAACGGTGTCTTTCATCCACCTCACAAGCCCAGCAAACCAGACTATCTCTTCTTTGTCAACTCGTTCTTTGGGCTGGAGATCCCGCGTGATCTACCTCCAACCGCCGCTCCTGTGGGTCCTCTCTTGAGTCCAACCTACCAGCCACTAGACCAGGAGTGTGGGGCATTCTTGGCTAGCCATAAATCAGTCCTTTATATCGCCCTTGGGACTCATATCATCCTACCCCATAGGGATGCTGCCAAGATATTGGAGGGTGCAAATCGTCTCAAAGAGGATGGATTGATCGATGGTGTGGTCTGGGCTATGGGCAAGACGTGTCGAGCAGACCTTGACCGCGGGTAAGAACTTATACTACAACGAGAATAAATCTCTCCTCCTGCTGACAACTGGAAACTTTCTAGCACATCCTTCCCATTCAGAACCGGTGATTTGAATAAAACCACCCTGGGTGATCTACTCGACAACAAACACCCGGATTGGGTCTTCCCATTTTTCGCACCTCAACGTGCCATCCTGGACAGCGAATCAACTAAGCTCTACTTCACCCACGGCGGCGGATCTAGTGCCAATGAGGGTCTTTATCACGGAAAGCCTATGCTATCAATGGGTATATTCTCAGACCAAATCGCCAACACCACACGGCTCGTCGCGGGAGGTGTGGCCGAGTCATTGAATAAGTTTGGCTTTACATCGGACGAGATCTACGACAAAGCCAAGAAGATCCTCAAATCCGAAAACGAAACATACGGCCATAATGTGCTGCGCCTGCAGCGCATTGCTCATGTTGCTAGTCGTCGCAAGTACCATGCCGCCGATCTTATCGAGGAACTCATGTACGACAACGAGCTACGGTTCAAAGGCGGGAAGGAATTGCGCCCTATGCACTTACAGACCGCCGATATGCGTATGTCTGCCTTTAGAGCTAAGAACTGGGATCTCTATACTGTCAGTGGACTTGCTCTAGCTGCGGTTGTGGGATCGACGTGGATGGCTGGCCATTTTGCGTGGCAGTATCGTGGCCCTGTGGTCGAACAGATTCGATCTATTGCACTTGCAGGTTGGGAAACTCTGAAGAATACTTTCAACAAGTAGGGGTTGTTTAAGGGGCATCTCACTCTCGATCTTGACACCGAGTGAGTAGCAAACTTGCCTGTTTTCGGTTCAATCAACAACTACTCATTTGAATTGAGAAATACACAGATTTATTATGGTTATGGTGTATCTGGCACTGTAGGTCATATGTCAAAATTAATCTGACATGAATCTTTTATCTGAACTCCACGTACTCCATATGGTGAAATTCAATAGCAAATAGAAGCCGGAAGAGACGTAGTCAAGACGCGTCCCAAAACAGCAAGTACTCTTCTGACTATAAAACGAGCACAAGTCGACTTCCCCCTCTTCCTCTCTTTCACTCCTTCACCTTCTATCACCGTCCTTCCTCTTTCATCCAACACTCTTCACAACCACTCTTCACACCCCAAACCCTCAACGATGTATCTGCACCCTGCAGCACGTCAAGATCTCGACAACCCTCTGGGTCTCCCGATCTATGAATGTTGGTTTTGTCCAACCAACTGGATTGGATTCTCTGGCCTTCTTTACCACCTCGAAGAAGGTCGTTGTGTCAAGCGAGACCGTATTCGTACCCTCGCCTTTGATACTCCCGAATATGGCTTCTACGGTAACAATCTTACGGATGAAAATCCCTTCTTCTGCTTCCAATGCCGGACCCAGTTCCCTCAGGTCTCTCACCTCTATCACCATGTCGAACAAAACCCGTCCTGCTCTTACTTGCTCAGCCCCTCTGAGTGCCTCGGTGCTCTGCGCGACTTCTACATTGAGTACTACGAGTGCCCTGGCTCTGACTACGTCAGCTACTAAGTTTCTCTCGTCATGAATACTAATGTCAACCTGCCATTGAACTTGTGGTGGGTTGCTTGGTATGCTATGAGGACTTTGAGGATCAGATTTCTTCGTTTCAGAGAGAGAGTGAAGGTATCAAATGTGGTTTCTTTTTCATTTGCCGGGGGAGTAGAAGTGGGCTACAGTGAGGTGAGGCATTGTGGTTTGTTTCTGGTTCGGAACTGCAATGGCGTGCAATATCGCAATGTGGGTAGAATAGCTTCCCTCGCCAAATAACATTCCAATCTTGTATCTTCCATTTCGTATTGTTTATATAGTAGGGTTTTATTAAAGTAGCACTATGCAAGGTAAATCTCTATATTTTAAGTGTGATCAACCGTCAAAGTTCCTTTTTTGGGGCAATTTTCCAAAAATATATACATAGACAAGCTAAGGCAGTAGATGAAACTAGAGGAATAACCCAAAGAAAGATGAAAGAAACACAAAATCAAAAGAACGGTTAAACAAACCCCACTAAAAGGACATAAGTATCGCTAAATAAAGCTAAATAGACCCTACATCAAGAAGCCATACGGACAAACAGGGATGATGAAGCTATTCATAGCACATCCTGCACGCCTTGCACAACCAGACATCGGTGGTTATCCGGCCTATACTCTACACCTCACCCCCCCTACCAGGCTATTGGCTTATTATAGACTCGATGGAATCTTTTCTTGGTCTCTTTTGTAAGTAAAATAGAACTCAGATAGTCCAGTCCCATTCTTGTCCAAGGATGCAAGGTACGTGTCAGCCCCGACGACAGGGGAATGGGACATTGTGAGTTCTGCAGGAGCACAACGTGGGTTTCTTATTTTATTCTCGGGGCATTTTCACTTTGTTTCTCGTTTTTCTTTCCGTTCTATTTTTGATTGGATTTACAATCCTTCTAGAAGGAATTCTCCATGCAGCTATCCCGCTATTCTTAGATCTGACATGAGTTTTACAATTGAAACATTGGACCCCCGATATCTTAGTCGAATAGCAAATAAAGAGAGAATACAACCAATAGCAAAAGAAACAATAAAGATAAATACATAAATGAGTATAGAAATATCTAAAATGTGCGTGATCACAATGATCGACACCAGGAAGCATGTTTCAACCTCAAACTCGGCTTTCTATAGGACTACAGGTCTACAGGACTGCAGCTGAAGCTCGTCTCAGCATTAAAATTCCTCATGATACCGTAGCATCCATGACCATAAGAATAACTTCCAGGCCTCAATGTAATCATTTACGGCGTGCTATGTTGCTATATTTCGGCATCGGATACATCTGGCCTAAGACACACCGAACGGCAAGTAGCCTAGGTACCTTACAGAGACCGTATCCGGATCCTGACTCAGATAGACCATTCATGTTTGACAGACTTCTCTGCGTCTTTGACAAGGACAATAGGAGTATGGGCTTCGGAAATGAACACCGGGGGAAGTTCGTTCCTGGGTGCCTGGGAGGTTGAATGGGGCCCCGGCAACCAAGGCAGACAATTTTAGGAGGCCCTTTTTGCTTTATTATAAGTATCGGATGGTTGGTCGGTGGTGGTTCTTGTTTTCTCATTTTATACATTATTAGTCTATCAAGCTATTCATACATTGCATCGGGTTGTTGTAACTTCGACACATCACCTCCTATCTACACCACTTTAAAGCTATTCCAGCGATTATCTCTGCCTAAACCATTCATCATGCTGGCTTTTGCAATGGGTCGAGGAGGGTACAATGCCCCTGCCTACCACCTGTGTCCCAAACTTGTGTCCGGCCAGAATTAGGCTGTCCAGAACGTGCATGACAATGCACTCCCAGCAATCATTTCGGCCGTTCCCAACTGCAGCCAGCAACCAGCTGATATCACGACTCTTGCCGAACAAATCATCATGGGACAGCGTTGCAGGCCAACCTCATCGTTGGAGCCATAGTTGAATCGGACTCTTCACTTGCCGACACAGAACCTACGACAGTCAGCTCACCATCCGGACCAGCACATCAAGACCAAAATCCTCTGGTACTTACTTCTCAAAAACAACTCCCAACACATCCTCGACATCTCCACTCTCACCTTTTCCTGTGATCTTGGCCAACGTGTCAGCCGCAAAGCGCAGATGTTCCGCAGCAGTGACGATATCGACTTCAGATTCAGCATGGGAATCAAGAGAGCCGAGTACTTTCTCGCACGAGGAATTAGGACCTTCGGCAGAAGAAGCTTGAGTTAGGAAGTCATCCAGATGGTCAAGGCATCTTTGAAGATTAGAGCTTTGGCGATGTGTGACACCTAGAGAATCTTCCCAATACGAAAGATCATACCCTCCATCTCCATCCACGCCAAGGGGCGAGGCAATCTGCTCGAAAGTCGTAATTAGTCCACGTAGAAAGACCTGTAGATTCCCGGGATCTGTAGTGGTATCGCGAGACGATACTTCCCGCTTGGCTTCCTCGCAAGAAATGGCAAACACGCGGTCTACCGGGACCGAAGGGAAGATGTCGTGGATGGTATCAGACAATGACTGCGGCACACCACTTTCCAACGCAGAGTGTAGCTTATCGCACTTGTTGATGGCGACAACAAGACATTTCCCGGCCTCCACGCAGTCATTAACAGCACCAAGCACTTCGGGCTCAACGAATAACCGAACACCAGTGGCTGTATCTTCCAGCGAAACAACCACAATAACAACATCAGACTCCAGAGCCCTCTCCCTGGCCCTCCGAATCCCCTCTTTCTCAACAGCCCCAATAACAACCTTCTCACCATCCCCAGAACCACCCTCAGCCCGAATCCCCGCCATATCCCCAAGCTTACAATACCATCCCCCGACATCAACCCCAACATCAACAATATCCCTCGTAGTCCCCTGTTCTGTACTAACAATAGCAGCCTCCTTCCCAACAACGCGATTAAGCAACGAACTCTTCCCGGCATTCGGCGCACCTAATAGCGCAACCCGAATCCCATTCCTAAGCAACTCCCCGCGTGACGCATTAGCGATATGGAAACCAATCTGCACGCTCAACGCGCGCACCTGACCCGCAACAGACGAGACAAGTTCCTCGGTCGACTCATCGAAATGCTGATCCTCAGAGAAATCAATCAACGCCTCCAGTTCACCGCGCGCATACAGCAAACCCTGTCTCCACCGCTCGTACCGGTTCAGCAATGCATCACTGGATCCGCGCACGGCTAGTCTGCGCTGTTGCTCGGTATCGGCGGAGAGTGTGTCGCCGAGTGCTTCGATCTGAGGTAGACTTAGACGGTCGTTCATGAAGGCGCGGCGGGTGAATTCGCCTGGTTCGGCGTAGCGGACTATTTGGTCTGGGGTGTTTGTTTGGGCGATTGCTGAGAGGACTGCTTTTGTTATTGCTGGTCCGCCGTGAATGTGGAGTTCGAGGATTTCTTCGCCAGTTGCGGTTCGTGGGGAGGGGAAGTAGAGGACTAGGGCGCCGGCGTCGAGGATTGTGTTTGTGGTTGGGGGTTTGGTTGGGTCGTAGAGGGTGCGAAGGGATGCATAGCGGGGTTTTGGGAGGGGGTAATTTGGACAGAGGCTTTTGTATATCTGGATAGGGTTGTTAGTTCTGGTGCTTTGGTGGTTCTGGGTTGTCTTGCGGGATCATACCGAGGTACAGGCTGGACCTGATATGCGCACCACTGCAATGGCTGCCCGTCCGGCTGCAGTAGAGAGCGCATATATTGTAGAGTCTCCGTCTAGCATAAATCTAGTAGGGCGAGTCGACGAGAACCCTCGAGCTTGTCCGGGAGTCAGCTGGGGGTATGGCAATTCGGAGAAAAAGCCATGACGTCGGATATAGGATTTATTTGATATCGTTTGCCATGGCTGGCTCGTTGATGTGCTGAAGGGAGAAGCCCAACGCAGGAGTCGGCGAGATGCTCGCATGCGCAAAATTGAACCAACGAAATATTGGTAGATGTCGAAAGAGTTGAAATGTTCAAATGTTGGTCCAATGTTTATCTGGCGATAAGACATACACGTGATCGATAAGAACTATACAAGATACGAGTACGAACTACAAGTGTGATAACATTGGAACATTGAAGAGATCGAGAACATAGATTTTGTCTAACTGCGAGTATTTAAACGATCCTGAAAAGCACAAGCAATAGCAATCCATCTAATGCGGCACTAGTCAAGGATATACAGCAGATATAAAACTTGATCACGCCTGCGCTCCGAA